CACCATATATTTGTGTGTAAAAATATCCAACAAAAGTTTTAGTAGAACACTTAGCACCATAATATTAGCAAGTAGCACCATATATGCTATCATATGACAATGGCAAACAGCACCGTAAAATTAATAGAGCTAAAAAGAGCTAAAAATTTATAGACTAAAAAGATAGCTATAAAAACTAATTTATAGAGCTGAAAAACACAGCTAAAAGCTAATTCATAGAGCTTAAAAGTTGCTAAAAAAAACTAATTCATAGAGCTAAAAAGATATCTAAAAAAATAATTTATAACCCAAAAAGACAGCTAAAAAACTAATTCATACAGCTAAAAAGACAGCTAAAAAACTGCAGTAAGACTAGTTGAATTGATTATGCCTATTGGCGGTGAAAGCAGACAGAAGTGTCATCAGGACCACAGCCGTCGTGGTACCAGTTGAGACATTCTGGGCATTGCTGCCAGTCATCAATGGGTGGTTCGTTAAATCTTTTACCACACATGCAACATGGCGTATCATCACTGTTAGTAACAGAACCTACACATCTTCGTTCTTTTGACCCTTTTCTTATCACGTTAGCATTCGATGCGTTACTTTTGATTGTCCTTTTTGATTTTGTTCTCGCATATTGCTTCCTTTTCCCGGTTTCTTTGTCATCTCTACTTTTCGTTCTCTTGGATTTGTCTGCGATTACATCGATTTCGTCTTCATCATTTTCCTCATTATTATTTTTAACTACTACTTGCTTGTTCTGTTTTGTCTTCTTTGCATTTGCTTCAATTAACATTGCTTTATAAGGACTAGAAGTTATTACAGTTGCTGCTTCGGTTTTTCGTTTGCGACTGCGTACATTCTTTATCCTTGGAATAGGGTTTAGTTCTGATATAATCTGCAATGCTTCGGATAAACCAGGATGATCAGCTGTTTTATCTAGTTGATTTTCATCGGACTCATTGCTATCTCCTGTTGCAATCCTATCAGTCTCCATCACATTAACCGATGCTTCATCATCCACCGCATTGCCGGCTTCTTCATTTGTATTCGTAGGTTCACTTGTTTCGTTTCTAGCTAATAATGCTCTTTCCATCATTTGGATGTGTTTAACAAGATCTTGTTCAATTTCAATAGAAAAAGTATTCACATGATTTCCTAATTTATTGCTCCCAACTTGTCTTACTTTGCCCTGCAAATGCCTTCTCAATGTCTTCCTTGAAACTCCAAAACTGTTTTCAGCTTTACGCAAAGACATACCATTTTTTACTGAATCTAAAGCCCGTTCTAAACCTTCTGCTCCATAACTTCCTCTTTTTGTCTTCCTTTTGTAATTTCTAACCATATCTATAAATAAAATAAAGTTAAATTTTGAACATTCTACTTAAATAATGCAAGGGGTAAAAAGCTCAGGATGGGCCTTTTGCCCCATAAACAAACTGGGCTTTTTGCCCCAAAATGGTCGGTGAAAAAATTGATAAAAACATATTATTCTATGGTACAATGAACGTTATGTAAATAATCAATACATAATTTGTACGCTTACAAATACATAAACTCATTTATATAATCAACTAAGTTTAACAATAATCTACAAAAATTTTTTAAAATTACGCAAAAAATCAAAATGTCCTATTCTTATTACCTGTCAAGTCTTCAATATTCTGTTAAAAATTATATTTCTACTAAAAGTTCACCAAAATTCGCTCGCAACACTGTTACACATTTATCATTCATACTACAACACTGTTACACATTTATCATTCATACTACAAAACAATAATTATAATATTTTACCTAGGTTCTTTATAACTGCAGGATGGGCCTTTTACCCCACCTGGGCCTCTTGCCCCACCCTACCCTATTGGAAATGTTTTTCTAAGATTTTTGAAAATGTTGGTAAAATTTAAATGACAAATAGATTCAAATGATACTTAAAACTTCTTAAATGATTGCTCAGAAGTTAATTCACTGAAGCAAATGCAAGCATCCACCAGTGTTAAAAAGCTATTGAACACAACTTGGGTATTAAGAATTTTATTTACCAGTTTAGGACTGATGTCAATGAAGAATTTGTTGAACTTTCAAGCTATTATTATAGGCTTAAAAACATCTTTGTTATCTATTCACCTGCGGTAGGAAACCTGAGCAAGTTTTTTGTTTCCCATTTATCCCTCCTAATATTTTCCAAGTGCGTTTAGAGTTGTTCTTAACATTTTCAATTAGTTTTGAATACTAATTCTTTTTTAAGTTTTAACGAGTTGTTTAAAATAGATATTTCATCTGTTGTCAATAAGAGTTGCTGAGTTTGTTGATACTCTGGTTGGACGATTAATAAAGGGAATTGCTATTATTTCAAATGCTAAATCAAAAAAAAAATTATTTCGCATTTTCGCAGTTATGTTTATGTTTATATTGTCAATAATAAAATTTTTCTTTTTCTTTGATGCCTGTTTTGAAAACATTTTGTTCAAAAAACGTGCTTAGATTCTCGCTCAGACCGTCAGGTGGTAAATAAGAGCAGCTTAGAAAATATTTTTAGATTTATTGTTTAAAATTTCAATAGTTAAATTTCTATATCGCCGTCAGAAACGCTTAAATCATTCCTAACGTAATGCGCAATGGCTTTCACGTAAATAAGAACTCCGATAACTTTTTTTTATTTTTTTTTATTTTTGCCGTTTAATATTACAATAACTAAATATATTTTACAATTTTTTACATTAGTAACGACAGAACTTCTAGAAGATCATAAGGATCTTGTCATGAAGCCCTTTACAATATATGGTTAACTTTTAATAAAAATACAATGTCTGTAGTGAAATAATAATACACCTCTATGCAAAAATATTTAAAAACCAAGACAAAATGTTAAAAAGCCAAGATAAAATTTTAAACCAAATAATATACAAAATAAAACAACAACAAAAACAAACCAAAAAAAAGGCAATTAAAAATAAATCAAGATATTTTCAATTAAAAATATAATTTTTTTAAGTTTCTGTTTGAATGAAGCAAAAGTCAGTTGGGTTGAAAAATTTGGTAAGACTATTTTGTTCCAGAGATAAGGACCTCGGTAAGAAACAAAAAACTAGTCTTTGCTTTTACGACAAAAAGGGGCAATAAGAATGTTATTAATTCGAAAATTATATTTGTTTTTAGGTTTCATTCAATAAAAATTTTGTAATACATTTGGCGACAAATTTTCTCTACATTTAAACATGAAACATAAAATATTAAAGACATTTAATTGATATACATTTAAAATATTCATTTCTTTAAAAAGTTGTTTCGTGTGAAAAAAACGATTTTTAAAATTTGTTACACGAGTTGCGTGTTTCTGATGAAGGTAAAGAGATAACTCAAAACGGGGACAATAAAAATTCGCGTTGTTACTTAAATTGTTAGCGCTTATCCAAGTTTCAGTTAAACAAATGTTAAAAACGTTTCAAAGAAAGTCTTTGGGTATACTTTTACTTTTAAAAGCAGAATATATTTTGTACTCATAAAACTGATTTGAGGATAAATCTTCAATAACTTCACTTTTAGAGTAACAAGAGAATCTCCAATATTATAATTTAAAAAGATAATTTTGTCATTTGTATTAGAATGCTCAAACCAGCCAGTTTAACTTTCTTCCTAATTACTGTGTATCTTTCCTTCTTTATCCATCCTGTGTTAACATTACTAGAATAACATCACTACCGATAGTATTTAAGCTTTTCAATTACCCTTATTTACTTAATCAGTCCTATCATTTACTTAATACAAGGAAAAGTTGGGATAAAAGGTTGGGTGATAATTTTAATCCAAATCTAACAAACTAAGGAGGGGAGGGATTTTTATATTTTCTTGAATCTAATTTTAGTTTATTGTCGGCATGTAATTAAAACCTCGTTTAAACCAAATATTTTAACAGATCACACACGAAAACAAATTAGTTCTAAGGATTGTAATTTTCATTGAGGCATTTAAAAACAAAAAAAATTGATTAGCTCACATAAGCACCATTTTTGAAAAAATAACTCTTCCGATCAATTATCTCAGCGTAATTCGTATGTTTCAAACTTTTTCAGATGTGAAGTAGTCAAGATATAGCACCAAGCTCTTGACATAATGTGCTAATCTTTTATTATAACAGAATAAAATTTTGACTAACACTCATTTGTTAATAGAACTTTGCAATGTTCTGCATTGAGCATGTAACTCTATAGAAAAAGACACCGTACTTGCTTTGAGAACACTGATCTTTGTTGTGATTCATAATCTCTATCATAACATGACTATCCATGCACACATCTAATGATCCATTAGATTGTCTTGGTTCTCGTTATGCCAAAATATTGTGTAATAAAAATGTTTTCAAAAACATCTAACCAAAACGTTTTCCACTAAAAATTCTCCGCTATTATAATTTTAAGATTTAAATGGTTTAAAAAGTCTAGATAACTAATAGTTTGAGAAGATTATTAATATAGTTACTACCTTATTATATAGCACTTTACCTACCCTATTATATAGCTATTATAGAGTTAATTAAGGCAATTTCCACGAAGGTTGAATATTAACTAACAATATAACTACCACATATTGTTTGTACCCATGGTGAATAGAAGGGGGAGGCTAGTTTGACAAAGGGAAGAATATTATAACAAAGTTTATCAAGGGAAATTTTTCTAACAACCTTTCGATTAGAAAAATAAAACTTACTACTATGAAACTTGCAAAACATTATGCACATATAAAAAAGATTGTGTATAATGCAATCCTCCGACATCAGCCACTATTTTACTTGAAAACTTTTTAAGTAAAATAGTGAAAATGTAAAAAGTAAACTCTGTGTTATTTAATACAAGAGAACATATGCTTTTAAAGTTTTTTAAAACTGTCTACCTAAACTAGTAAAATAATACATTTATTGTTATTTACCTTTGCTTTTATAGCTATTTTATAGAAAAGAAAAAGAAAAGTAAAAACATGTTATGATCATTTATAATACATGTTAAGCAAATAACAAATAAAACAGCAGTATTAGAATTCTTTTGGCATAAATTATTACACATGGCTTGTTCACTAGCACTAACATAACGTTGAGTGAAAGACTTTAAAATTTATTTACATAAAGAGGGAAGTTATATTTTCATACTTTTTCTAAACAATAAGTTATAATTTACTTCTCTTCAAGTGTCAGTATAAAATCAAACTCTTCTTTAGTAACTGGGAGGACAGATAATCTAGGTTTTGTTATTAACCCAAATAACTTAAGTGCTCCTTCTTTATTTTTTTTGTGTTGAAGATAAAGATCTTTTAACTCTGGAAGTGGTATATATCTTTTTAACATGCGATTGAACTTGACATCAACTGAGAACCATTTTGGATTGTCTTCACTTGATTTTGGGTCGTAGAAGTTACCTTTACTGTCAAATTGAGTTGCATCAGGATAACCAGATTTAACAATATCGACTATACCAACAATGCCAGGTTGTTTGCAATTGCTATTTAAAAATTTAAATTTTAACATTAATTTTAAACGTAATTATATTTTCAGATAGAAATAATGTAAGCAATGAAAAACTTATAAGAGCTTCCTCTCTCTCTCTATATAATAAATGTTATACATCTATATGTATATACATTTATATGTATATATATATATATATATATATATATATAAATATAGATATATATATGTATATAAATATATATATATATATATATATATATATATATATATATATATATATATGTATATCTATATGAAACATATAGCAAACAAAAAATATAAAAAAATTACCTGTGATAAAAAAAAGCTTGATCTCCAACTTTTATTTCATCTCTCAAGAAGTTCCGAGATTGGTGGTTTCTTACACCATCCCATACACTTGTTTGGTCTGGCTTGCTTTTTAAATCCTCAATTCCAAACTTTATATCAACTCCATTGTGTAAACGAGTTTCAGGCTCTGATTTTAATAACCAATATCTTTTTTCGTTTTCATTAACATCTTTTTTCTAAATATTAAAATAAAAAATTCAAGTATCCTAATAACATGTTATAAGCAAATGTTATGTATGTAATGGAATAGACATCAGTGAAAACTAAATATGACCTAAAATTACATTACTACTAGATTGTTTTTCATATAAATTACCTTTCTAATGTAATATAAAAAAGTGAAAATTATTTACTTTTTCTTCATTAACAGTATTTTTAGTTGATTTTTTCTCTTTAGTAGATGCCTTCTCTTCTTCTTGTACAGGTAGCACTTCTGTAACTTCTTTTTTATCTTCAGTTGGTTTGGCTTCTTCTTGTTCTAACTCAGGTTCATCCTTAGGATCATCTTTTTTGGAAACTTTAGCCCCTTTCGCAACTTTTTCACCAACTTTTCTTTTTGATCTTGCTGGCGCCATTTAAGAGTAAGGACCTTCAAACTCGTGGTTTCAATAAAATCGAATTGTTTCGTAACGGTTGAATGTTGAAAAGCAACTTTGGCGGTAAAATTGCATCCAATCAACTATTTAGATAAAACATGTGATATTCGGTACAATATTTAAAGGTGTGTTTCCACTTATCCATTTTTCTACGGAATGCGAATATGAAGAGAAAATAACAAAAACAATAAAGTATCAGGGCCGACGACACCAGGGGGCTCGCGATCCTTTCCCCCGCACTTTTTTTTTTTTAAATTTTATATATAGAGGACTTTTTTTTTAGAAATTTACGATTGTACTCCACTATAAAATCCCCGTCGTTGGCCATTCATGTAAGTATGCGAAGTGTGATTTTTAATTTTTCCTAAGAAAAACTACGCCTGGTCCCTTGATTATTTTCATTTTCATTTTTCCTTGATGGAGAACAAATATCCATCACATATTCATTGCGTCTTTGTTCTAGGTTTAGCAGATTCTATAAATTTATATATAGGCTTAATAAACTTGATGAACAATTTTTAAAAGTTCATTTATAAAAACTTGGTATCTAATAGATTCTAATACTATGTTTATAAACTTGTATTCATTACTTGCAGGTTTAAATTAAAGGGGAGGGGGAACATAGGAATGATTAGAAGGCGATAAGGGTTGTTGGCGGCACATTACCCCTAGAAACATTTTTTTTCGAGAATCGCGCTAGTAATAAATATATTTAACCCACGCTTTTATGTGCCTTTGAGCATAACTATTAAGATCGTCTAAGACACTAAACAATCTAAAATTTGAGTTAGCTAAGTTTACTTTGGGTAACAACTATCATAAAAAAAAGGAAACATTTCATACTATTGCAATGCACAGTGGGCCAGAGGTGAGCAGAATCCTTCAGAACCAACTTTTATATTGGAGTAATTACTTTTTGTAAATGTGTTCTAGAGACCCCCAGCATTTTAAAACTGGTATAATTTTTTCCCTACTGTAATTTTTGAGCTCAGTATATCAATTTTACTCCAAAAACATCTTAATGGAAACTTTTATCAGGATTCTATGATATTACTGCTGCAAATATAAATTGTTTTTCTATGTTGAAAAATTTATCTTTGAACTACAATAGAAAGTAATATGTATAAATGCAGCAAAAGATATTACAAAACCAATTTCTAGTTCAACAACACAAGGTGTGGTCTACCTTATTTCTCTCAATGTCCAATCTTTGATTTGAGTAATTTTACCGACAAACAATTGCAACAGATTTCAATAGCACCTAATGATACGATTTGTCATGTTTGTAAAAAAATTAAGCAAACAGTTTTGGTTGAGAGACCATTGTAAAAAATTTCTACTATTCTGGAATTATAAATATGTACTTCATCTTCATTCACTTTGAAAATCTTTTGATCATTAATACTCAATCAATCATTTTGATCTTGTTACTAAAATTAAAATAAAGTTTAATTTTTTTAAATGAGAATCCAGTTTTTTCAAATATGCTTCAAATTATTTTTAGAAATATAATTACTATTATTTGGTTGTCAGTGATGGTTACATGATGAGCTGCATGAAGTTTCTATAGTCAAGAATTATTTCAGGTGGTTAGCTTTTCCTAGTGTTATAAAGTACAAAGACAGTGAAGTCATTTGTGAAATTCTACCGCCGTTTCTATTAAAACAGCACGGAGACTATAAGTTTGTAGGAAAAAGAGGTTGAAAAAGACTAAAATGAATTTCAAGCAATAATGCATTAAAATAAAAGGATAAACTGTAAACTGGTTTCAAACCCATAACATAGATAGAAATTTTTGATGCTTTAGAAATGAAACTTTTAAATCTTGTTTGCACTCCAAACTTAAGTATATTCATCCTTATGTCAAATGAGAATGTTTTGCAAAAAGTTGCTGTGGTAAGGCGTGGAGACCAATATACTCCAAAAATACCCCCTCCCCCCCATTATCTAAATGTGAGGACAGTAAATAATTAAAATATTTTTTTTTTACTATCTTATACTGAATTTATATTTATCGACAAGTTTTAAATTTCATCTAATAACCATTTAGGGTTAAAAAGTTATGACTATATAAAATTGGTGAATATGTAATGTTTCGCACTTATGTCAATTCATGCAAATTGACATAAGTGCGAATTGGCATAACTGCGAAGTAGTTTATTTGGCACACTTATGCCAATTCGCACTTATGCCAGTTCGCACTTATGCCAGTTTTTGTAACTGCTTCGCACTAATGCCAGTTCGTACTTATGCCAGTTCGAATCTTTGAAAATTTGTTTGGCGCACTTATACCAGTTCGCACTTATGCCAGTTCGCACTTGTGCCAGTTTTTGCAACTGATTCACACTAATGCCAGTTTGCACTTATGCCAATTCGCACTAATGCCAATGTTTGCAAAATGTTTTGGCGCACTTATGCCAATTCGCACTTATGCCAGTTTTTGCAACGCTTCGCACTTATATCAGTTCGCACATATGCCAATTCACACTTATGTCAGTTCGCGTTTACGCCATTCGCACTTATGCCAGTTCGCATTTATGAAATTCGCGCTTATTTAGTCGTCCCGATGGAAACATTACATAATTAAAACTTTCGAACACTAAAAGATTTTTAGATGAAATTTAAAACCTGATAATGAATTTAAATTTAGTATAAGATATTTAAAAAATGTTCTATTAATTCATTGCCTTCAACTTTGGGGTAGCTTAGAATGTTCTTTTTGGGGTACTTTTGTTCCCAGACTCCAAGCAATGTTTCTAATGGGGTTCAGTTATAAGACATTATCTACCTATTTTTCTTCTTTCATCAATTTTAAATAGCTTTTTATATTTTTTTACATTGTAAACAATTTTAAACGACGAAATAAACTAAACTAATTATCGCAATATTTTGCAAAGTTTTCTCATTTAACATAAACATGAATATACCCAAGTTTGGAGTTTGAATAATGCTTGAAAGTGATCTTAAGCAAAAAAAATCTTAACTACGCCACTGAATCAAACAATTACATATTAAGATAAAGAAATAATGTATTGAGTAATACCGCTTGAAATTTTTTTCAGATTTTTTTTTTGCATTAAAAAAACGGTATTATAGAGTTAAAGAAAATCTTTACATTCAATCTTAGAAACTTTCCCATTTCTCATAATGGCTGATTTTTAAAAGTTAGTTAAAACATTTTTTGACAGTTTTTTTTTCCGGAAATTTACGAAACCTTCCGTTTGATTAAAAACAAACTTCAGAGTAGAATGTAAAATAAGTGTGCACTAAAAGTGCACACTTATTTTGCACTATCAACTTCGTCGAAAAATTACAAAATACTTCATTCAAAAAGAAAAAAAATTTAAATTCCGAAAGTCAAGTTAAAAATTATTCAATGTGAAAAAAATGCTTTTTTAATACTTGCTTTTTTAAGAGACGATGGGCCTTTGAAACAGTAGAACGGGTTGAAGGAAATATTTTAAAAGGAGAAAAACCATACTTTATTTATTTTATTAGTGTTCAATTGTAGGTTTGCGTTTGTGACAAAGATGTAGGATGGTGTCTTAAAACTTTTTTTTTTTTTTTTATTGTAGCGTAAATTTAAGTTTATAAACTAAATTTAATAATTTTGTCTGAAAGTCTTTAAAAGCCGTTGAATCGTTTGTCAATGTGATATTAGCGATGAATAGACCGAGAACGAGAAAAAAAAATAATTATAAATGAAACCGAAAGTAAAAAAAACTTTTAACACGCGGTTTTTTCTGTCGGAGTCCATCCATCTCAGTGTCGTAATTATGTTTAAAAAGTAAGTTTTTTTTTTTATTACTATTATTTTTTTTAATAAGAAATAATAGTTTTTCGATTAGATAGGGAAACTTAAACTCAAATCTTAGTACCTAATTCTATTGTACTAAATAGTACCTAAGTGCTTCTTTATTTACGAGAAAGCTTTATGAGGTTTATTTTTGAAAATGTTTCTTTTTTTTTTTTAACCTTTTTCTATATATATTTTTTGGATATGCTTTGAGTTTCTATAAATTAAAAATAACAGGTGCTTAAGGCTTTTCTAATGATATATAACATTCTAGTATTTAAGTTACAATGAAAACTAGTCTTATTTTCTTGCCTACTTGAAAACAGCACCTGTTATTTTTAATTTATAGAAACTCAAAGCATATCCAAAAAATATATATAGAAAAAGGTTAAAAAAAAAAAGAAACATTTTCAAAAATAAACCTCATAATTATTGTGCTTTATGAGGTTTATTTTTGAAAATGTTTCTTTTTTTTTTTAACCTTTTTCTATATATATTTTTTGGATATGCTTTGAGTTTCTATAAATTAAAAATAACAGGTGCTGTTTTCAAGTAGGCAAGAAAATAAGACTAGTTTTCATTGTAACTTAAATACTAGAATGTTATATATCATTAGAAAAGCCTTAAGCACAGTATTTTAAAAGTGAATTTATCGAAATCTAACTATTCTTAAAAAGAATTTTTAAGTTTTTTTAAGGTTTTAAGTAAAATATTTTTAATATATAGATTTGTTGAAAAAAATATAGTCAAAAATTAGTTTTCCATAATTAAGTTCTTATCTAAATTTTTGTATCAAAAGAGTGAACTACAGATTGTCCTCTAGCCATCAAACCATATTAGGGCTAGAACAAGCCCTCTAGCTCTGATATATATGATTGCTATGAAAATGCAACATTTTTTTTTGTTTTATTTAGATTTTGTTAATATATCATAAGTTTATGATATCAATAAACTGTATTTTAATGTTTTTCAAGATGATAAAAAACACACTTTGATAAAAATTGGCTATTCTATCATAATGGCAAAAACACAAGCTTCAAAAAACTTAGCACAGTTTATTTAAAAAGTTTATTTAAAAAAAAGTTTATTTAAAAAAAAAATAAAAAAATTTATTTAAAAAAAAAATAAAAAAAGTTTATTTGAAAAAAAAAAAAAAAAAAAAAAAAAAAATGGTAATCTAATACAGTTGAGAAAAAAGATTACAAATCTATAAACATTAAATTTAAAGGAAAAACCCTCCCTTTATAATTTGTGGGATGTCAAAGTCTAATGTATCCCCACCAAGGTTATTTATCAATTTATGGTCAAATTATAAATACACTGCTTCAAAATCTCCTAGATATAACAAAGAATATCAGTTATTTATTAAAATGGAGGTAAATATATATTGTACTTTCATTAAAGATGACACTCTTAGAATTATGATTAGTCATTATAAAATAATTCAATTTTTTTTTTGAAATTTACTTTTTCTGATGTCTAAAGGGATTTTAAAATGTATTTTTTATATCTTCAAAATAAATTACTAAAATGGGGTATAAAGGAGAATTATTAACACTAAATAATCATAAATTTCAAACACAACATATGTTTTATTAAAGTTCTAAATGAGTCATTAAACACTTATCTAGTTCAAAGTATCAAAAAAAAATCAAATAACCGCTAGGTTTTTAATGAAATATTTATTGATTATAATCAAACAATAAGTAAACACACTAAACTAGAACTTAACTCAACTTCTTTACAGCTGTTAAATAAAAAGATTTAACTAAAGAAATTAAAATAAACAAGGGTTATTTTTTTATCAAAACATATTTTGCATGTATTGCAAGTTGTTAAACAGGTTTAACATACAACATTAATATACAAAGATATATTTTATTAAGTTTGTAATTAGTAAATTTTATTGTTAATAATTACCATTTTATTAGTTTTCAAATAAAACAATACTTTTTTATTATTTAAGATATGTTCATTTAAATAACTGAGTGATTTGTTTTTTTGTACATATTACAATATTAAATTTTTTTGCTATATCTACAATTGAAAAATTTCTGTTAATAAATATTTGTTAATGTTTTAACTATTAGGTAATAGATCAAATTTTAATCAATGTCTTAGCTTATAAATGTCTATCAAGTTTTAGAATTTATTGATGACAAAATTTGAGAGAAAATGAAAATGTCTATCAAGTTTTAGAATTTATTGATGACAAAATTTAGGCATTCATGTCTAAATAAAAGATTAATTTCTGTTACTTTAAATATAGATTTATCGCTAAAGATGAGATATCCGGGACAACTCAAATTAAATCTTCAGTTCAGCGTGGAATACGGGCAAAGATTCTTGAACAATTTCCTGCTATAGAGCCTTATATTGATGCAATTTTACCAAAAAAAGAATGCATGGTATTAGTAAAATGGTATAGATTGTTATTACTCACATTTATAAGCTTTTTTTACTAAATATATTTTTATATATTTTATGCATACCTTATTTTAATTGTTCTTTGACAAAATATCATATATACACATGCAAATACAAAGCACATTTAGATTGGTGATCTGATATTATACTTACTAGCAGTAAGCAACCCGTAATACGGGTTATTAGTAATTAAATAATTGCTTACAGTTAACAACAAAAAAGACTATGTTATCATCAGTTAAGTTCTTTTTAAAATCTGTTACAACACAGCAGGTACCTTAAAAAGAAAGTCAAGTAAAGCCTCCAATGCCTAAAAAAAGGAACGAAAAATAATTACAATTTTTAATTACAAAGTATTATTTGCATTTTATTGTTGGTAGAATGAAGATATAAAGACTTAAAAAAATTGCTGTGATAGCCCAGTTCTATCAACACAAATCACATTAAAAATAGCGCATAGCATAGAGTACACAAAATTATTTTTACCTTTATTATGTAAAGTTCCAGCTTCTCTTTAACTGTCAACTAATGATTAATAGAGTAAATTTCATATCATTAAATTTACAAAATTAAAACCATGTTTCAACAGTAAGCAAACTAATTAAAAGTGATAACAAAAGCAACTAAAAAAAAAAGAACATAATTACGTTTGAATTTATAAAAAAATTTAAAATCATTTAAATTTAAAACTATTTGATTTAAATTGTTTTAAAGTGTTTAAAATAAAATCAAATAAACACACATTAACATGGCTTGACACTGAATTCTGGCAAGTAAGTTTTCTGCTCGCCGAGCAGCATTTCTTATATTTCAACAATTTTTTTTTTAATTTTATTTTAGGTGCTCAAAGAAGTCCTCAAGGTCTTATCACAGAGCACCGTGGATAAGCATTTAATAGGAAGTTCACGCCTTCTTATTGATGTAAATAAATTTTTATTTTTATTTTTTGATAAAAGTTGTCTATCAAAAATAAAAATTTATTTACATCAATAAATTGTAATTTAACAAAGAATCTAGACAACAATACATAATCTAAAAGTGTAAAAAATGAAAATGTTAAATAAAAAAATATAGCAAACTTACTAAAATCAGTACCAGTTCTACTGCCAAAAAAACTTTTATTATTAACCCTTCTTATAGTAATAAAAAAATAACAACATAGTGATCTGAAGTTACAAAAATCACTTCACTTATTTTTTTTGTTTAGGTTAATTGTCCAACTAAAAGTCTATAACTATAATACTGAGATAATGTAACATGATTTCTAATCAATGTAGCATGTTCAGGGTTGTGAACCAATTTGATTGTAGCACGTTCAGGGTTGTGAACCAATTGATTATGCCAACCAGCATCAACCCTTAGAAAAAATAGAGAACAAACCATAGGCTCTAAAATTTGGCAGACATACTTGATATATTTTAAGAGGATGACCTCTTGGGAAAATAACAACTTCACTGGAAGTAAGTGGAGCACCATCTTCACCAAAAAATACAACTGCAACTTCATTATGTGAAGGGAGATTATTGTGACGTCTATCGTGCCCTTTTTTCTCCCTATTTTAGTTCAAAGTATTTGCTGCTTGCCGAGCAGGATATCTAGCATTTGGTTGATTATTAATTTCATCCCGCCTCAGCCTATTTCTTGCATTTCTGTGATGACTATTTTCAACTTGCCTAATCACACTGTCCTCATTTTAATTCAAATTATTTGCAGCTTGTCGTGCAGCATATCTAGCATATTGTTGATTATTAATTTCATCTCGCCTTAGCCAATTTTGCATTTCTGCGACGATTATTTTCAACTTGCTTGTTAACATTTCCATCATTTTCTAAACTAATAGCCAATTCTAGCTTTATATCATCCATTTAAACTTCACTTTTAATTGATAGTAGTAACAATAAATCTGGAAAGAATCTTGAAGATTGTGATTTTTTTTTTTAATTCTCTAAATTGCACACACACAAAGAATAATTTTTAAAACATTACATAGGAAATGAAAAAATATTAGTAAAAATTTTTTTAAAAATTCACAAAACTTAACAATATTTCGTTCTTCTATACCACATAAATACATCATTTGATAAATAAAAAATGTAACAAATAAGTAAATAAGAAAAAAATTACATACAAAAAAAAAGAAATCATTGTACCTGATAAAGCTGATGTGATTTACCAGAGTAGTAGTAGTAGGCTTTTAGTGAATCTAAATATTAATTTTAGTGAATGGTTAAATGCAGTGAGGTCTAATAATGAAATTAACTATGTATCATTTTTAACAGTAGACAACAACTTGAAGGTAAACCAAATGTATATCAACTCAAAAGATTACAAAAAAACAACATCACAACAACAATAGCATTCGCTATTGAAAATTTGAAACTGCGTTTGACTTTGCCATTTTTTCCAGTGTACTCTTCACATGCAAAGAGTGTTGCTATATCAACTGACAAAAGATGAAACATACTAGGAGTGCCGATACATTTGCAGGAGCTTTTTGTTCTGTCAGGCAAACTATCAATTAAATTTTTTTTTTTAAGTTTGCAAACTTTTCCCAGCCTTCTAAATTAATTTAAAACAAAAAACAATATGTTTTTTTTAAAAATAATTTGGAAAAATTAAAGATGGCCATGCAAGAGTGTGTATATATATATATATATGTATATATATTTACATATATAAATATATATCAGGGGCTATTCTAGACCACTTTCAGCTGTGTCGACTGTATTTGGGCGTCGCACAAGTTAAAATTTGATGACCTTTTTTTTTTTTACATTTTTATGGCAAATATTAATTTTTTTTTTTTGCAGATTTTCTGCTAAGTTTTGGCGGGACAGGAGGTCCCGGGTACTGCTAGCCAAATTTTTTTCCTAAATAGGTCCTGATATATATAACATGACTGCAGGTTAAAGGCTACAGGTAATGTTATCAAAGTCTTTTAAGTTCATATTCTTGTTATATGATATTTATATATGTTGATTTTGATAAAGAAAGCTGTGTATAAACTTTTTTATTTTGAATGTATTTTGATATAGTTATATTTTTGCTATATTTTGCTGACCTATAGTGGTCAGCATCATCAGATGTAATAAAAAACGTTACAAAAACTTTTACAAAATTACATAAATCAAACCGTCAAAAAACAAGACATTACAGGCGTAAAATAAAAATAGTTTTTGTTAAAAAATATAATAGCGTCAGTAAAAATTTGACCAAAATCAGGACTGTGGAGTCGAAGTCGGAGTTGTAAAGTTGCAACAATTTTAGCGGAGTTTGAGTCGCTAAAAAATATTGCGACTCCGACTCCGATAGTAAAATTACTTGGTATTGCGCGTGCATGTACAAAACATTTAATTAACCTTATGTTCATACTAAACCTCAAAAAATGTTTCATAAATTTGTCAAAAAAAAAAAAAATTTAAACTTATCGCGCAATATTTTTTAAAGAATTCAAAGAATTTTTCAAAAATTTGCTTTGGAGTTGGATTAGGAGTCGGAGTTGTACTCAAAAAATTTCAACAACTGGAGTCAGAGTTATACTAAAAAAATTTCAACAACTGGAGTCGGAGTCGGAGTTGTTACTTTTTTTTACGACTCCACACCCCTGACCAAAATGATTTCCAAGTTCTTCTGTTTTTATAAATAAATAATATCTCAATAATATTTCCTTTAATATCTCAATAAAAAATATTTTAGAGGACACTTATTTTAGAGGATACTTGACTTAATAAATCAATAAATTAATAAAAAAGGAGGGTGGGAGTAAATCTGTAAAAAGATTTGACTGGTTTCTATAAAATAAAGATAAAAAAGATCCTTAAAAACTAAAATTCATTCAATTGAATTGTGTCAAATACCCCACTAGCCAACTAAGTTCGTCAAAAAACCAACTAACTTGAAAATCACTTTCTTTGTGAGGCTAGAAGAGCTCCTTCCCCCACACACCATACCCCAAAAATCATCTTTGTATGCAATCTTCACATATAAAAAATCTTTGTTTCTTTAAAACACTCTACAAAAATGCACAATAAAACTTGTTAATCTAAAAAAGATTTTATTTTGTGAATATTTTACATCTTAGTTAAGAGAAGTAAATACTAAAAATATGTTATACAAGCTCAAATGACAAGCTAACGCGGAAAAAGTAATGTAATTAGAAGTAACATATTACAACTTGAGCATTTTATTGCTTTTTTAAAAAAATGGGCGGTTCTATATATATATATATATATATATATATATATATATATATATATATATATATATATATATATATATATATATATATATATATATATATATAAATATATATATATATATATATATATATATATATATATATATATATATATATATATATATATATATATATATATATATATATATATAATATATATATATATATATATATATATATATATATATATATATATATATATATATATATATATATATATATATATATATATATATAAAGCCTTCCCAGGAAGCGTGTGTAATTTTTTTAGACCACTTGACCACGTTTTTATAAAATAAGCATTTTAAGAATTTGCAGCAAAAAAAAGCTATAAGAAACTACAGAGAATAAAACAGCAGTACTCTAAATAATATACAAAACAGAAAATCTAATTAAAACAAACTAAAAAAAAAAATTAAAAAAAACATACCTAAATATTTTACTATTTTTGCTTTCTTCTTTTTTTAGGGCGTTTGTTATTTTCCGCAACCAAAATTGGAAGAAAGCAGATAAAAATATAACAAAACATTTTTTTATATACAATTTATTCGCAACATTTGTCAGTTAGTTTTTTTAAGGAAACACTTTATTATTTGAACTAGAAATATGGACAATTTGAAATTTTGTTTTTTTAAATGTTATTGCTAAACTTTACTGTTTTCAATAACATTAAAAAAATCAATTGCACAGAAAACCGAGAAAACTTATTGCTATTTATTTGTAAAATTTGTTTTATTTATTTTTTAATAAGTTTTTCA